AGGCGCAGTCCCCGAGTTTCTGTCAACCTTATGTTCTACTTGAAGCCAAATTGCACGAAATTAGCGAACTACACCCGTCGTGGGCTATCGACGAATTTTCAGTAACCTTATGAGTAGTACATTACAAAGATATGGTACGGTTAACCCAAACTTAATTCAGCCTGTGCTTGCTTTTCGGTTAGTAGGTGGTCTGTGAACGGCTTCGAGATAATGCTCTCCTCAATGGCGAGTCATTCGAATGGCACTGTCGACTACCGGTCAGGCAATTCCTTATGAAGGCATGTGTAGATATGCGATGAATCCATACTACCAAATCAGTATTACCAACGATCGTTCTTGTCCCAACCTGTTCAGTTTTTTGGGCGCTAACCCCAGTACTATACAACTGGAGAAGCGATACCTGCTCTAGACTGATCACATCGGTTAGGCTCGTTAGTCTCCATGAAGGACTTAATTCTCGCACAACTTTACCATTGTCATCACTTTGCGTGATTTATTCACCGGAAAACATATCGACCGCTATGGTGTTGTGTTGCAGACCGATCACGTGCGCCATGGGTTTATGTGAGATGTGGGAGTAATTACTTCTCATGCAGTGGAGGCAGCAGTTGATGCCCCTGTTGCAACTGCCTAACTTCCCCGGTAACTCATTCTCCTCTCATGTAAGTGATCTGTTCAACCCAGTAAAACAAATTAGACAACCTGAAGTAGAAATATGGGAAGGAATTGGCCAACTCAATACAAAAAGCGCTACACTACGATTAGGCAATATGAGGATGTGCAATAAGGGATTAGAAAGTTATGAAACAATCGCTACATATGTGCGTCACACTGTCCCATTCAAACAAGTAACGAAACTTTAGCCGATGTTTTTTCATGGGCTAAAAATACCGGTGCGTTTGCTCAAAACTATCCGACGGCCCACGGCTGGTTTCTCACTTTTTCGGGCGAATCAAGTAGGCGCAGTCCCCAAGTTTTCGTCAACATTATGTTCCACTTGAACTCATATGGCAATAAATTTGCGAATTTGCACTCATTTGCACCAAATGTAACAAGGTGAGTTCAGAATATCCAGTAACAGGTCACAGTAAAAAACAAAATATGGAAACAATAAAGGCGTCCACCCATGACCAGAGAGTGAATCAAAGCCGTGGGTCCTTCTTTGACCATGACTGCTTAGGTACAGCCAACAGCGGCGAAAGATTCAATGTGAAAAGGAATGAATAATTGAAGAACGTTTGGAATCATTTGAAGAGTTGTCGTTTTCGAAGGGCTATGTAAACAGTCGGTATATTTAAATAGGCAAGTGAGCTGCGATTTGAAACAAAAAGTGCCTCAGGCTAAGTGAGCTGATTACCAATTTGGTTAGGCTTTGGAGCAGACGGAGTACCTTTTCAGATTAGTCATCAAATCATCACCATCATCGACAGCATGACATCAGTTTTCAACACCGATGCTTCACTGCCGTACAACCATGATTCATTTGAAAGCCTTATTGTAAAGAAAAGAGTAGACGTGGACGGGAATGGGACTTAAGGCTAGCTTACCACAATCATTACGAGGTGCCCATACCTTCAGACATTCACTCAGGCGATCTGGATAGGAACTGACAACAAGATGACCACTGACATCGGTTGGCAGCCATATCTTGTAGTGTCTTCAATCAGACACACGGTCCCTATCCTGAAAGGCGAGTAACACCGACAGCACCCAAGCGTTTCGAGATTGCCTAGATTTTACGGATAGTGGGTTGGAAGAATTCCAAAATTTTTTTATAGGTTGAGGTCCTTGATCTTCCGGTTTAGGGCGTTCTCTTGTTCTGACGAAGGTTCTATGCCAAAAACTGAAACAATAACAGCTAAAAACTGCTGTTCTTTTACCAAGGCCTTCTGGAACAAAAGGAATAAAATTGGATTAGTCAGAGTTGTGACAAAGCAATGACTTTCCTCAAAATATTCGAAAGTAGTCGTAAAGTGAATCCAACAGTACTTTTGGGTATTCGATTGGTATTGGATTTAAAAGACAAAACACAAATGTGTGATTCTAGGAAGGATTTTCCAACAAACTATTGTAATATCGGTTGTCCTAACACTCTGCCTTTACATAAAAAAGCTGACAAATTTTGCAGGGTAGACACTACTTGCATAAATGGAATGTATTGAGAACTAGACATTAAACATTTGTGCGATACCCTTTGATCAAGTGTCATTCTGTAAGGAAATTAAATGAAAATAGCCTCAGTCGCGTCTGGCTGGTGACGGCAATTAATGTGCTGCTTACGTCCGCTCACGGAGAAGCTCGTGTCTGTGCAGCACTATTCTCTGCATAAAGAAGTCAAATCTTTTCATTACATTGCACTTTTGTGTAACGGAGTTTGCGATGCCCCGGTGAGTTCCATATTACTATACGGATCAGAAACCTGGCCGCTGCGCGCCGATGACGTCAAAAGACTTTCAGTGTTTGAGCATCGATGACTTCGGAGCATTGTCCGAATCTGGTGGGAACACCGGATCGTCGGATAGTATTTGGGAGATATAACCCACCCTCGATAGACGAACTGATCACACTGCATAGGTTGCGCTGGCTTGGCTACGTTTTGCGTATGCCAGTCGACCGACTTCCTCGAAGGGCTCTTTTCGACCAACCATGTCAAGGGTGGAAGAGATCCAGGGGCGGTCAAACAATGACTTGGCAGTGAAGTATGAAAGCCATTACCAGCAAACTCAGCTGCGCTGGTCACTGCCGTCTTCCTGGATGGGGACACCGAGACGGGCCACATCAATGGCTAGAGACATTGTCAGACATGACCCAGTCGCGTCCTCAATGGTGCTCGTGCATCCAAGCTATTACTTCCAATCGATAGATCCACTTCCGATCCATCATTTAACAGTCCACCTACAGTGGTGTACTTACGCAGTCATTTATCAGCTCCCGCATCCAATGCTCCCATTCCCCCCAATCATCAGCAAACGAAACTGTGGCAGCTACACCCACTGTAAGACAAGTATGAGGTTATTACGACTGACAATGATGGTGATGATGATGTGACGGATGGTGTTTTTTTGCATGGAAAGATTAAATGAGGTGTGATTTTGACTGCCAAATATTTTCGTTTTTCTTAAGTAAACCTGGAACGTTTCGACATAGATTTGCTTTCAGGATTAATTGAATCAGTGACGTAACTCTGTTCCACTCTTCACTATTTATGTTGCTATCCAAAAGAACACCCTTTCAAGATATCTTAACAGTCACCAAGCAAGAAATTGTGAACTTGTGATCTGCGTGACTTATTAGCGGAATCGATGAACTTACAATCTAGGGAAGTGGATATTGATGGTCACAGATTATTCCGTGAGTGTTCAAGACAGATGCATATACCAAAGATCAGCATTAAATCTTCTGTATTCTTTTATCAGATTACATCGATTAGGGGGTGTTTCGCAATTATCAACGTAATAAGGTGACGAATGTCATTGAGCCTGTCGCGCTGTAAATATTGCTGCAAATATACACTACTGATAATCGTCCGGTAGTACAGATTTAATTTGTTCAAAGAAAAACCCAGGTATGAGCATCTCAGGCTCGATCAAGTCTCTCGTATTCAATAGCTCATCGGCATTCTTTCGCACACTGTGCTATTCACAGTCTGCATTGCTTCCCCGTTGTGAAGATACGCAATCAGTCTTTATTGGTTTCTGAACTAGATAGTGTAGAACGATTGCTCAGTTTTGAGACAGCATACAACCGGACAGCTTAGAGTTCTGCGTTACACACTCCTGATAAGAAGGGAGGCACTTGTTTTCAAGCTAAAAACTGCACTTGCTCGCGAATAAATGACCGCAAAACCCCAGAACTGTAAGTCGAATGATTTTCGAAAAAGATAACTCGCCAATGATAAATGAGCTGATCGCGCAACGTAGGTTGCACTGGCTTGGCCATGTACCACATCTGAAATATAAACAAACTTACTGGAAGACCGCTTTTCGCATAACCACTTGAAGGGTGGAGATCATTCATGGAAGGTAAAACAATGACCGGGAAACGAAGTAAGTAAACAATTACTAGCAAACTCATTGCTGTTTCTCTGGATGGTGAACCCGATACGTGACACATCAATTGTTGGCGACATTGTCAAATATAGTCAAGTCGCATCCTCATTGGCGCTCCCGTATCAAGCTTTTATCTTCAAAGCATAGCTCCCCTCCCAATCTCTCTGATAAAACAGTCCACCGACAACCCTGCAACCAATTATATCAGCAACTGCCTCCAATCCGCAACTGTCTACCCCACCAGCGAACAAAACTGTGGCAGTCATGATAACGAAGAAGGTAGCGAACGAAGCTTGTTTTCTGTGATTGTTCATCTTTGCTATTAAATCACAAATTTATATGGTAGCAGGAATCACGTGGAAAAGGTTAAGATCGGGGCTACACCTTAGAGAAATAGAAATCAAAGGAAGGGGGTTGGACGATGGATAAATCAATGGGTCACGGAACCAGGTAAATGATGTCAATGTCAGACAGATTTGTGGGGCCGAATGTTTCGTAGGCCAGTTCAAGTTCAGAGGTCGCAAAAGTTTCTTTCGGATGCAAAGTTGCGGATCACGCAGTCGGATTCCAATCGCCTCTGCGATCGATAGTAGTCTTGATCGTATCAGTCGTGATCGGTTCATAGGTACCTGGGAAATGATGGTGAAGGCTTGGCCCTTGCCTATGACGTGAATGGTTTTCGCCTAATGTGATGCAATCGCTCTTGAGCCTGGTTTCTTCCCACTAACAGGCCCAAGCGCGATTGCATCACATTTGGCCGAAACCAGTCATGTCAAAGACAAGGAGCAAGCCTTCACCACTGCACGGCAAGTACGCGGTTGTCACAGCTGATAATGATGACGATGATGAGTCACGTGCACAGCGCGTCGCATTCAGGAATAACCTGCGTTATTGTCAATATCCACAGGTAGTGAATAAATCTCGACGGCTTTGTTATAAATCTTGATTTCAACTATTTGAGTACCACTGCTAATTTAAATTCTTATTGTCAAAACTAGTTCCGTTTTTGTGAGCCCTGTTCAAACACAAGTATCGCTTTCATGGAGAAACTAGCTCTGGGCATTATTCCACCGTTATATACTTGATTTTCGTACTCCTTCACATACTTGGTTTCACAGTTTATGACGTCAACAAGGTGTGCCTCACCACTGAGAGAAGCCCTTTCTGAATAAACACATCAACACACAGTTGTCGGCCCAAAGTATCCCCTGGTTTTCATAGTACAGCCTGCGAAACATACAGTCTGTAAATCGCTCGGATCGTGGGTACATCACTTTACAGCTCCACTGCTCTTCCATCCATGCACATAGTCGCATACAGTTCTCTTTGAAAAATCAATTCATCTCAGCCAAGAACTGATTGACTAATGAAGTCCAAGTTCGAAAATTGCTTCAGAAAAAGTGCTAGCAAATTGAATAGTAAATCTACCTCAGAGAGGATTCTTTGTCACCCTGATTGGGCGATTGCTGTTCCCTCCAAACAGCGATTGCTGGCAGTGTCAAATTTACGTCCGTGAGTGCCACTGCTTTTATTTGGGATTCAGTAAGCCACCGGGATCATCTCTCACCATGATTCTGTGATGGCCACTTCACCTCTGAATATGATGATGCTTTACCAGATTACTCGACAGGGATTCCAAAACCATCAAAATATCCACGAATAAAACCCACGATTTCAATTGTACCCGTCATTCTACGCTGATATCCTAACTTTCGACTGTTGTTCGTATCGAGCCTGTCCTCACTAAAGTGCCTTCCATTTCCTGCTGATTTTCTGCTGAACGTCTCTAGTTTATTCTAACATAACACACTACTCATAATGTTACTAAAAACTCTTCGACAGCACACGACCCTTTCCGCCCTTTTTGGGGCTTGAGAGTTATGCACAGACTACGAGTTTCTCTCAAATTTATGTTCTACTTGAATCCGAATTCGGACAGATTTTGACAAACACCCTTATTTTCACCCGAACGTAGTTTTGACAGGAGATTCAACTGAATCAGTTGAAGCAAACCAGAACAAAAGGGAGATTCAGCTGCATTTGGTCGAGCCTTCCGTCGGAACCGAATCCACGTGCAAATGAGAGTAGCTGTCGAAATCTCCCCAATTAGAGTGCAATTGAAACTAAGGTGGAGGGAAACTCGGTGACTTCGAAAACCAGGATGGGCCTCAAGAAAGGCGAAGCATGCGGTGCGCTGTCGAGGAGTTTTTGAGTAAACTCAAGAATACTCTGTTTTGCTTGAACGACGCATCATCAAAGTGTGCATCCCTTAGAAATTCCTTTTTACCTGTCCATTAGACTACTGTGTAATCGGAAGAGATGTATTGAACAAAACTGTTTTCATATTGCATTGAGATTGTGGAAGGTCAGTAAAACAACGCGGTTATTGGAATGAGGGAGTCGAAAGCTTCAAAGTTCTTTGGTAGTCTTCCAGAGTTAATCTGTTGTAGGTGCAGATGGTAGGATGGGAGCGATTACCTGAAGCTTTTCACGTTTGGGATTAAATTTAGCTTCTGCCTTCTCGTAATTGATTTTGCACGGCAATTCAACCTCCAGCGGTTGATAGGTTATTAATCTGCTATCCAGTATGGTCAAAAGGAGTTTTTCCTGAAACGGCGAACAAATTTGTCATTAGGAACATGTAGGTATGATCGCATGTACCGTAGCTTTGCTGATAACTTTCATCCAGACAGGCAAACCAAAATATAAGGCAGATCTCCTAGTTCGAAACGTCTGAGCGTTTAAGAGGCTAACTTAATGACCAGAAGGTTCGTAGTTCGAATCCAACCTGTGCATCTGGACTCCTGTTGTCTATGCTTGGATAACCGGGTAGTAGCTCATTCCTCGTGCTCCCTTCGGGTGGCATGGCAGCTTGGCACGAGAAGGGTGCTACAGCTGGACCAGTTTTTCTGCTGATAAGCCGAGAAGCACTGTTTACCTGTTTCATCCTTGTTGGGACAGATCAGTAGTGCTAAGCTCAGAGAGTTTTATTGCATTTTAAACCACTCTTGGCATCAGCTACTTGATTGCGAAATGAGACTGCTCACAAGTTCTACATCGTTAACCATATCACATCGAAAAACATGACTAGGTTAAAAAAATTCTGGAATTATTTCTCATACAGTTGAGCTTTCGTTCAATAAACGAAGCCAAACTCAACTCAGAAGCTGAGAAGCACTTCAAAGCTGTTTTGTCCTTACTAGGAATCGTCAACAGTCCGCATATTCAGGGAGTTTCGGACTGGAGACCCCCAGGTTCTTAGTTGATCACTAAACTACTCGGTCACGAGCTGCTTATTAGCAGTGTGACTGTCAGGCAGCACGTGGAACCATTCTTCCTTGGATCACAGAATTCAGGTAGCGTGGCCAAATGGTCACGTTTCAACTTGATCCTCGAGTGGAAACCTTCTTACATGTTTTTTATGCGTTTTGCGGTTGAATGTCGATATTGTTCCTCTCCTAAGAGCAAGCACACTTTGGTAGAGAAGGAATTTGGTTCTACCAAGACAGGTCACTGCTGATGGAGGGAAGATGTTCTAAACCTTTTCCCCATCTGGCCTACTTGCTCCACCGTTTTAGAACCTGTATTATAGAGTTGAACAGGCTAGGATGGAGCCGAGGCACACAAAAAACGCCCTGAGGAACACATTGCCAAATACGGAACAACACTTTGGACGTCGGTTCACAGTTGTGACGATGATCTCGTGAAAGATACACCAGAAGGCGCTCACACCAGCTACCAGATATTTAAGATCTTTCCACTGAGGACCAAACTGCCGTTTAGCTTCCTCTGATATCTAACCAAAGATCGATTTCAGGGAATGTCGACTGAATCTTCAAAGTACCTTCTATTTAGAAACCGCTTGTAGAATCCATGAATGTCTTCAGTTTGTCACAAGGAGTTTCCTGTTGACTATATTCCACAAGTTGATTGATATCTCTGATTTGGAGCATAGTAGCTAAAGCAACCAGGTGTGACGTACGCAATGCGCATGGCTAAATGGCTGTTGGTAACCAAGGAACCTACCTCCGTCAAGTCCAAATCACATTGTTCACTTGAAGTTATCCCAGGAAGTTCAAACGTGAGCTTCAGTCTATTTGCATGACTTTTTGACGTCTCCTTTTGTATTGCCGTGATAATTTCAGCATGCCAGGAAATTTTGTGCTTTACCTCACTCGAACAAGCTTCATCGATTTCCTCGATAAGTTTGACGTTCGATTTCTTTCGGGCAGTTGTTGTTGCATCCGCTGCGGTGTGCTGATGAGGCAGTTTGAACGGCTGACTCTCGGAAAAATACAGTTCGTCTAACTCTTCCGATTCGGTCACATTTTCGTGGCCTACTCCACTCTCACTAGCGTTGTGCAGAATCTGTTGCACGGCTTCTCCCACCGGATCCATAAAGTCCTGTTTTGCACGCTTCTGTTCACTCCTCAAGAGATGATTAAAGTAACCAAGCGAGTTGAGGATTTGTTCTTTGGTTCCGTACCTGTCGACGGGACGGAGGATCTTCGGACGAAGTGGAGCGGAAGAGCAAATAACGCTATTGGACTCGATAGTGGGCATTTTCTTTTCCATTTCCAAGTAGTGTAAGCCTAACCAAATCAGTTGGTATCGACTGTCCTCCTCTCGTCTTGTTTTGGCCTGTGGTAAGGTGGAGGAACTGCTGCCGTCCAGGTCGGCGGGAAAATCATGCTGTGTGAAGATATGTGGATTGAAGGCCATTGCGATACCTGTGTCTAAATAGACAGACAAATAGCTAACCGGTTGAGTAGTACAACAATACTGCCTGGAAACAGTGGCAAGTTAGAAGCTTCGCGAGTTGTTTTGCATGCAGGTAGTGTTGCTAGCTGAGCATAGTTGTTGGAGTTTGATCAAACCTCTTCCTGTCCCAATGCAATTAATCTAGAGGGTTTGTACCAACGAGGGGGGACACGTAGTTTGAGTGTCGCTCGTATTGGGGCTGTGCTGGAGTCCGACCCCGGTAGATTGGCATGCGAAGCAAGAGTGATACGAGTACCCCATTGGCGCCTTTTGGGAGCGCCGAAACCATCAGGTTTCAGAGAGTGGATATGTTCACGCTTGAACGCCGTTTCCATATTCATTCACTGTTTTTTCTCCACTGTCCTCGTGGGAACATTGGATCAGTAAACCTGTAGTACGTCGAACGGACTACAGAAGAAATAACTGGCTCACAACTAACGAAGTGTTTACACTCTTTGGGTCGAGCTGATCACGTGTTCCATGGGCCACTCGACCGGCCTCCTCAAAGGGCTCTTTTCGCGGAACAACGTGAAGAGTGGAAACGAGCCATGGAAGATAAAACGTTGACTTGACGGCTAAGTATAAAAACCATTACCAGCAAACTCAGCAGGTTTGGTCATTGCTTTCTTCCTGGATGGGGACCCGGTGCAAGAACACTTCAATCGTTAAAGACATTGTCAGACAGGACCCAGTCACATCCACAGTGGCACATGTCCACCCAAGCTAGTGCCTTCAACGCATGCCTTTCTATCCCGATTTCCTCAATGGAAAGTTTACCAAAAACCCTGGTTTAATGCGTCCCTCATATCAACTACTGCCTTCAGTGCGCAACTATCTAACCCACCTCCACAACTCATCGGTGAACGTAACTGTGGCAGCCAGAACCACTGTATGGCAAATACACGGGTGTTATAGATTCGGCTGATGATGATGAGTAGTTTGACAACCACTTTAGAAATTGGTACGAAATGCACACATAATTCATGATCCAGCTGATTCAGTTAGCTTTAAAATTACACCACCCAAGTGTGAACACAAACATTTTTTCTGACTTGATAGCTCAGGTGCACTCAACGTCATCTTGTGGACTGGTAGCAACGCGCTCGCTTCGCATGTCAAATGTCCGGTGTTCACACCCGGGAACGACCAAGGAGATGTACTGCCGATAGGCTCCAATGGGGGGGGGTGCGAAACTTGAGTCCAGTGCTCCCCTTCTTGTTCGGTTTAGACTCATCGGAATAGCTTTTCTAGGACAGGCGGAAGACTCTTCAGACACGGAATTTCTATTAAGGAACGACACTGCATCCTTTGCTCTACTGATTGGTCCGAACTTCCATTGAGTCACATGTGGCATTAGTTCATGGCTTTTGCTAACTCTACAAAAATGATCCACGCACACAGCTGAATTTCGCTCAGCTGTGTCGTACGAATAACTGGGTGTGGTAACATACGATTCGAGCAAGGATCGAGTTTTCTCCTTTAGAATATGCGGAGGTCAGTGTACCATACACACAAAGGTTTCGCGACCAAATTTCGTCCAACTCATGGAGGTCAGAATGAAGTGAGGTTGAAACAATCCCAGTGACCTCCGGATTTGTGCTTCACCTAAGCCAAGAAAGCTAATCGCAATTGCTTCAGTATTCAAACCTGCTTCTGAAACTCCAACTCAAAGAGTCCCGTGGTTGCTTAAAAGATTTTAAACTGGGCAGAGTTAGGAAGCTTGTTAGCGGGAGTGAGAAAACGGAAAAATCACCTTCATCTGCATGCGGTCAAGCGAAAAAAAATGAAACCATATTCATCACATATTGACTTACCCTCTCCCAACGGGAAGGTGTCGCCACACTTGACAATAATGGGGCTGGTTTCTGATTTGGAGTCTGGGACGGCTGCCCATTCGCAGTAGTTTACAATCAGCAGTCGTTTGGCTTCCTGAAGTGTGATGAAATACAGAAAGTCGACAGTATAGGGACGCGAGAGTAGGTACGGTCGACAACCTCTGCAGACCGCCCTCGCATTTATCCAAAAACAGTGTCTCACATCTGAGGGGAGGGGAAATGGCGTCCAGCGCCAGTATCGGGGAGAATTCAAGGACTATTACGATGCTTGTGACAAGCCTTACATCCAAGTGGCGCATCTGGCAAAAAGTTTGACATACTGTATCATGGATGGTCCTAGTAATACCTCTGGTTACGACGAGGGCGGTATGCAGTTTCTGAAGGTTAACACTAAATCCATGAGTTGGTCTAGTCCATTTTTTCATCAACTGTTTAAAACGGACCGAACAACTATCACTAGTCCACTCGTAGTACTTATCCAGACCGTTTAATCATTCATTCAAAAGAGCGGTGCGCGAACGGCTCTGTTCATGCGCTCACCTCTCACTGGAACATGAGATGAAAGAGAAAGCTCGGTGTACAAACGTGCAGCGATTTCACATTTGGTCGTGATGCAAACAGTTTGTTTCGACCTTCTGTGTGCGTCCTAGGGTCTTGGCTAACAGTGGCGCTTACTTCTAGCCCGGTCTCGATGGAAAACGAGCCGTTCCTTTTGTGACATGTTCCCAAGGGCTATGTGGTACACAGAGAATACTGCACGGATCGTTTTGATGAATGCCCGTGAAACGTAGCCTCTGTCAGCAGCCAAACTGAAACGTATTCAGAGCCTTTATCTCAAAACCATAGCTCGTGAAGCCTGGTATCGGCGAATCCGTTATAAAGCGAGTGTTCAGCTGTGTAACACGGACTTCACTCAAACAATACGTCCAATGTCAAAAGCTGTGGCGGTCAGGCCATGAACTGTGCATGCTGAACAATTTTTTGTTGGAAGCGGTGTTGTCGTTCGCGTCAAAATCAGAAAAGCACAAGCAAAAAGGCGGCCAAGCTTTGATCTCCCAGACAAATATGAAATTCAAACGTCTGGGTGATGTCATCCATCCGGGATAGGGACCGTTTGATTCTACCTATGAACGGTTAGAGGCTTTGCAAAATTTGGCTGCTAGCCGATACCACTGAAGTTCATTTTTATGTCAGTTTCTATTCTGATTAGGTGAATGAACGTCCGGAGGTGTATATATTTGGAAATAATTGTGGTAGGCTAACACGAAATACCTTCCCCGTCCACTTTTTTNCACGCTGTACGTTTCTTTCCAGATGGGGCGTTTGAATGTGCAGGAAGGTCAGAATGCTTGCAATAGACTTTCATCTACTCTACTATCTTCTGTTCACTTTAAGGATATCGATATGGCCGAATAAATGCTGTTGTTGCTCAGCAGTAAAATCTCAGTGTCAACAGTGACTATGCTGTCTCTGGTCATGATTACGATGAATCTGGTCATATAATATATGTACATATACATATATATATATCGTAAATTAGGGCATCTATTTGGTTGCAATACAGTTGATAAATATCTATTCGATCCTTGTTATTTATTCTTTAAATTCCAAAGAAGATGACTTTATACACACCATGAAAACAAATTACACAATAAGGAAGCTACTCTTTGTGCCCCTAACGCGCAGGGGACATAAGGAAGATGTCAGTGTTTGACTATGAGTGACTCCAAAGCATTGGTCAGGTCTGGTGGGAATATCGGATTAGTAATGCTGAAGTACGCCAGATGGTCTTAGGAAGAAGGAACTCTACCGCACTAGAGGAATTACTCACGATTCATAGGTTGCGCTGGGTGGAATATGTACTCCGTATGCCAAAAGACCGTCAGCCCCACAGAGCTCTTTTCCCAGCCATATGACCGAGAGGTCGACAGTGCCTAACCTGGCTACGACGTATGAAAACACTAACCAGTAAACCTAGGAAAGTATCGATTTCCTGGATGGGGATCGAAAGAGTAGGAAAATAAAAAAATGGCAAGAAACAAAAAGCAAAACCTTGGCCATGTTTTCAGAACTCACTTTACGTGACATTGCTTCGACACTTACGCGAGAAAGAGAATTCCACTGATGTACCAGATGGCAACAGTCCATCAGTGACAGTTGGCGACAAAGTTCATGCTGACACCGATACACTATTGGTTCTTGTTTTGTAAGCTGCGAAACGGCTTACAAGCCCAAACATTTTGCATTAGACAAAGGTTTTAAACTGGCCGTCTTAAAGAGAGTACAATGCTGACCGGTTTTCATGGTAACGACTATTCTCCTTGCGTTAGTAAATAAACCAGCCCTGTTATGGGTTAGATGAAGAAAACACAATGAATTATTGGTAGTGTGAGCAGCTTTGGGAATTTTTGTGGAGATTTCGTCCTGCATGTGAAGCCAATCTATGTTCATCCTTCAACCGCGTGATCTACATCACGCGATCACACATGTTGACTGGCTCCTCGAGCGACGACTTTTCAAATGCAAACGTCCCCTATCTGGTAAACTTTATTCTTCCCCTGAGCTACTTATAGATCGCTAGTAGTGTGAGGATATCTGGGAATTTTTGTGGAGATTTCGTCCAGTAAGTGAAACCAGTCTGTGTTGAAAAACCGAGAAGCACTGTATAGCTAATTCACCATCATTGAAAATGATCAGGTTTAGACATTGGTGGATTTTGTGATCGAACAGTCTAACTGACTTTCTACAGTCCAGTTTGTTTGGCCCTGCTATATACTTGCGTGTTTAACTTTCAGGCAAATGTCTTGTGTGGAATGACCAATTAGTCTCCTTGATATCTCATGATATCTCAGTAGAGGATGATATACGTATTACGCCTGAATTCCGGTTGCGGGGCAAGGTTTCCTGCTATTCTTCGCGACAACAGCCTACCCCGGACGTGATGAAGGGTCTCCTAAAAGTTTGCTTCCTTGGGTGAGGTTCATCGATCGAGTACTTGGAAGCTGTTTTAGTCGGTCATATTAGCAATGTTTGAAATTGCTGGAACAGAGTGCTGACGTGCCCTACTGTGGGGTCGGATGACGAACAGTATTCAGTACATATACACATAACTGCTTGAGTTATATCTTCTAGTACACACTAAGTCCACTTGAAATACAAGCCATCGTGCATTCGTCAGAAAGAATCAACTTTCTAAAACCCAACGTTTCGCGCAACTGTTGAATTCTGCATTCGTGGATGCGGGTGGCCCCTACTTTGGAAAAAATATGTGAACGATTCTCACAAACGAGAGTTTGAAAAGGCGTGACAGAAAATCACTTGAAACTAGACAAAAGGTATGCTCTTTTGTGTAAAAGAAACACTGCATTCAGATGGAGAACTTGGTTTGTACCTTGTGGAAAGTGATAACCGTAGAATTAGGGGTTCCAACTTACAAACGGTAGCTGATGGAAGCAAGTTTAAAAGAAGCAGTAGGCATAACATCACGCAAACGAAGGTGAATGAATGTGATGATTGAAACGGTACAAACCGGTCAGCGGAGGCGGGGTTCAGAAGTAACAGTTTGAAAATGTTCATCAAAAGACCACGTGCCCGAGGCCTCTTAGCCAGCCTGATCAGCTTCAATGAAGAAAAAGGCACTTGTGTTGGTGGACTTTTGGGGATTCCATCAAGCGCAAGAACTGATAACTGTTGGTCGTTCCGAGATAATCAATGAGCAATCTAATCACTCGTCAATAATTATCGTTTCGTCTGAATTAGTCAACAGCTGACTAAAAAAAACAAACTTGAATTTCCCAGATGTGAAACCACTCGGCGAACGCATAGTTCATATTTAAGTCTTGAAACATTGGTCAAAGTGCCAACTGTCTAGCAATCCACATGGATGAACTCTCCGGAACCCGACCATAAACTGACTTCAAAGTGACAAAATTTTCCCGACATTCTTAGAGCTATCCTGAAACCAATCATAAAGCATTTCTCTAACGAAATCGTAATTACCAATAAAATAACACTGTTCTCAACAGAATTCATTTTTATTGTATTCCATTGGTAAACATCAGTACCCGGATCCTCGATATTTGCTACTTATGAGTACTATGAACACTACTGGATAGCATTTGTTTGGAGGCAGTATTACTTCGTAGAATGCATATCCTTTCCTGATATGTTGAGAGAAGCATAGAAAAAACAGGCTGATAATCACGATTTGAAACAAATTGGGTTTGGCGTCTGCTGAATCCCCAACCCTACTCTCGAATACTTGCACACGAGTTCACCCATGTGTGCCGAAACCCACCGTGGCTGGTGTACTGATTGGCAGGTTTCACACAGTCATGAAGCTGCCACTTGCATGAGACGAATCGATAACAGTCATATTTAAAGTCATACTCAGGGTGACAGCTTACTCGTTGGCTCCATCTCACCGTTTTCATTATCTTATTTTCAGTAGAGAGTTCTCCCTTTAAGTGAAGCCAGTCTGTGCCCAAAAGTCGAAAAGCACTGTACATCTGTTTCATCCCTAATGGAAATTATCAGTCTCACGGAACATTGGGGGGTTTCGAACCCGCGATCCCCTAGCTAGTCGTGTGAACACTTAGCCGTTCAACCACGAGCGGTTGATCGGCCACGTGACTGAATCCCTAATTTTTCTGACTTCAATGAGTAAAACTGAAGCACCTGCAAATGCCCTACGTTGGTGCACCACTTGTGGTAGAAAAACTAAGCCCGACTAAACTGAACTTACACATGGGAAACCGTGAGAGCGACTACTGTATATACTAAACGGCAGGCTAATCAGGGGACGTAGCTTGCCAGGCGGCATTGATGAATGTTTGTGGAGAATAGAATAAATTGTTCATCTGTAACGCCCTTCCGGTGCCCAGCTGCCATGCCACTCATAGAAGGGACTTTGGCTGAGATACTGCCAGGTTGCCCAAGCCTAAACAGGGGAAGTCGTTGCTTTGAACGTGGGAGTGCTGTATGTATAACAAGCCACGATTTTGACAACGCACACAGGACTCATCGTCACAGTGAGAGCTTTTGAGTTCAAGGGCGCTTTTCTGAAATAGCGATGGCTTTTGTATATCGAACGTGCAAGCCGCGTGAGTGGATGTCACTGGAGTGCAGCAGTGATCAATAAATCGACGATGACGATTGCTAGTAACAAAAATAAAGAATGTGTGCTCTTCAAACTGGGGCTCACTGTTTACTATGAGCGTCTGTAAGATGTGCTCTCCAACGTTGTTGACATTTTCTGCACAAGAAGAACCTTATTCTTTGAGTTTTGAATTCCTGGAGCAAGATAGAGCTTGTCGTATTTTACTATGTTGTGTACCGATTGGCGTACCTTTTTTAGTATTTTCCCGTAAATTATATGGATTGACTCATTACTTAGTAATTTTTTACTATCCGTTCGGCTAACGTGTAGATATGTATGGTGTGATACGCTCAGAACCGCGTAGCTGCGTTTAACGCTGAGATAAATTATAGAAAAGCATGAAATATGCGAATGTTGGAAGTCTGTAGTTGGATCGCTTAGTAGGATCATTAAGTATGGCGTAAAGTTATGGTTGATTGGTCCATTGTTTTGACAAGCTTTTTTCCACATAATACGAGCGGATTATTTATGCTGTGCATCCTGCACGTTGGTCAACAAATGTTACTACACCGCATGGAATGAAATGTGCCTATTAGCGATGGGTGTTTTGACACTGGCGCAATTTTACGGAGCATTTAGAAGGAACGCTGATCTTCCTCGTCAGCTCCATCCACTTCAGCGTTGTCGTCTCCATCCTTTCAACCATCCTTAAAACAGTATTGATCTAACCTGCTTGTGATCAATCTTCACTCATCATTCTGTTTGAAAAATGGGGCGAGATGACTCAGTGTTTGGAGCTTGAATTTGCTGATCCGTGGTTCGAACCTGACATCTGCCTCTCGGCTTCCATTGTCTACGAATGAGCAACCTGGCAGTATCCTAGCCCTCGTGCTTCCTTCTGGGGATACGGTAGATGGGCACCGAAGAAGTGTCACAGATGTCCTGTTCGCTTCCTATTTAAAGAAGGATTCGATGCTGCATAAACTTTACATTATATGGAACCATAAACGACGAGACATCCATATGATAACTGATGGGAAGTTCCATTCGGGAATGGTCGCTCAACAAGCTCGAAACAGAGCAAAAATTGCCATTTCATTTCTTTACTACACACATTACGAAATGTGGATAATTGCATTGTGTCATTCTCCTTGATGTTCTCGCCAAAACGGTGAAGCCGCATTCAAAAGCGATAACGACAGGAATCCATTGAATGATGGCCAATGTTTGGAGGTGACCATTGTAACCACGTAATCATGATCATGATGTTCGATCGAACAACATGAATCTTCGACTCTGATGCCTTTTTGTCGTGCTATCTGAAAGCCTTAATGTGAAGAAAATAATAAAAATGTACATAGAATGGATTTAGTCTTAGCCTATTACAATCATTTCCAATCAGTCGACAAGTTACTCCGCATATCTACTGTTCTTGTAGGTGATAAAATAACTTCTGATATTTTTGTGAACCAGCGGCCCACCCAGCTGTTCCATAGTGACGTATTCGTACAGGTGAGAAGGTTGATAGTTTTTTATCACACACCGCTCTATACTCCGACAAGCATCAGATCATATGGCGCCTAAATAACTACCTAATAACCACCCGGTGCAATTCTATTGTGGTTATCCGCACCAACAGAACCACTAAATGACCATATTTTATAGGTACACTGAAGTTAGGAAACCAACTCTCAGCAAGGTTTCGTGTTAAGTAACCGTTGAATAACCTTATACGACAGCTACTGAACGGGTGAATAACTTTCCTTTGACGGTATTTCAATATTAAATTTCAACGGCGTAAACACCGTCTTATCGCACTTCACTGTTACTGAACTGACAACTTTTCACCGTTTACAAAACCACCATTCAGCAACCGTATGTTCCGGCTATTTGTACGGCAGAGAACTTTGCTTGGGACACGGATTCATAACTTAGTTTTGCCTTGTTATGGCTCCCGATACTGTGCAAGCGTTCATTGTAACTGCCCTTGTTTCGAGTGAAGGGTAAGTAGTTAACTTTGCCATCTGTACTGCAACGTTCACGAACTGGTTCGTGAACGCTGTGATAATAGCATCATTCTGTTTCAGTCACTTCTGGTAGCTGAAGGTGACTGGTCTATAGCTTTAAATACGTCATCAACGAAATTTGATTCCCGAATTTAGGCCTTATAGTGTTTCGAAAGGTGATGTAGGAAGAAGGTCAAATGATTTCCGGTTACGGGTTGCTTACTTTCATTTTCGCTTTGATTACGAATTTTACCGATGGAGGAGAGGCCGTCTTTCGTCCTTCTTTGAGATTCTTCTCTATAAATGCCCTATATCCAACTGGATCATTCACCGCCATTTCATCCAACATTTTCCACACTGCTGCTGCATCGGCGAATAATTCACTTTTTCCCATGTCCATGTTGCCTATTTCATATTGCCGCGTTACCTAGCACGCGGTGACAGTGCATTTCAGCATCCATGCAGCAGAATGTGGTGTCAATTCAGTTCGAGTGAATTTGAATGCTTGGCGGGACCATTGTTGTAACAAGTCCTGACTCGCCCGCCAAGGCAGCGGTATTGCGAGTAGGTTACAATGCTGGACAATTCCAATCAGGGTCAGAGTAACAGTGTTACGATGGCCACGCAAAATTCGTTCAGGTTTTCAGCTCGATATGATCCAAAATTCTCAGAATTGTGTAGGCACTGACACCTGACAAATCGCCTAGTCTTACACCGAAAGACCTAGGAAGCGAGGCAATGCGCCAACCGCGGTGACATAATTGAGGACAAAATGCTGTATAGGATTCGAAGGAGTGTGTTTAGGCGGACAGGAGGAATCTTGGAGTGGGCAATCCTCGGCTGTTACTGGACTGTCCCAAAACACCTCTGGCTCCTGGTCATCATACTAACATCCCACCTACCAAGCCCTCAACTACAGTGAAAGGAATGTTGTAGGGGGAGTCCGAGGGCGAACTCACAAATGGAAAACCGGAAGTATCTATCAGTAAGCTTGGCCAAGGCTACTCACAATAACAGCGGGTTCATATGGCACCAAGGTGTGCACATATTCACCAGAATGAAAGAGAGTGCTATTCCATTAGGGGTGGATGCTTAGTGAGATAATCACCATATATAACGTCTGCGGAATAATTTTTGGATGAGTTTCGGACAAAACATCAAAACGAGTCTACGGCTCTCCTATGGTATTTTCTGGCAGTTTACCGAGGGCTTCCGTCACGCCGTTACTGAAGTAGCTGCTGTGGAGCTCTATTCACACCTGAATCTTCAAGAAAGTGAGCTGGTGGACTCCGAGCATCGTATTCTGCCTCAATTGAGATATGCACATAATAGAAGGTTGTCTTAGAAGCCTATGAGTTGGTATCAAATTTGGTACCATTGAGCGTAACCTCAATGACCATAGCCCCTTATCAAAAATAAACCCTCCATCCTCAAGCTCCTCTCGCCCCAAGTCAGTAGACTATTCACTTGTTCCACTATCTATCCCGTTGCGTTCGGTTGACGCCTGCAAACAGTAATCAAGGATGGGTTGTAAGTATGCACAGTGGCGTATGGAAGACAGTACAGTGGCGGTCGATGAGCGTCGCCTGAACCCAAACTGCGTCTCATGTGCGCGTTTTACTGCTAGCTGCCAATGCTTCTACATTTCAATGAACTGGAATATAGCACTATCTGGCAGTGCTTTTTGGGAATTAAGTTTACGGGCTTGCAAATTCTGGCGGTCCCCTTCTCTCACCGAGTCAAGGAAAACGGAATAGTCCCAAGTCGTCGTCCCTGTCACTGATAAACTTGCTTCTTCCTTAAACTGAAGGTTGCTGAAATGAACGGGCCTCCTCAAAATTTCGTGTCACTATTTCGTTGGGTAATCTGGTTGATAGGTTCCGAAAACACTCTTGGATCCCTCATGCACCGGTACCACTGTCACCCATGATTGTGAAGCGGTCGCGAAAATATCTCACGTTTTATGACCTTGTTGATGCGCGACTCTGGAGAGCTTTAGTACCTCAAAAGTCTTCTGCGTAACCTCATTGGTGTAAACAAACCTGTGTTATCGTCCAGAGCTTGTCATCACTCCAGTTACTGCCTAGGTTGCACACAACTTCGCGATCTCCCCGTAAAGACAAAGCTGAAAATGGGAGGAGTTCAACGTTTGTAAAGATCTCTATCGATAGCTTGTGCATGGTTTCTGTTTCTCATGCCCCGGAGTAGTAGCACTCAACCCTGCAGTTTTCTCATGTCCCACACCGCAACAAAAAAGGGACCTGGCTTGTCAGTGATATTCGCGATTGTTCTGGTAATCGTGTCGTGGCATGAACCAGAGACGTTGCCCGTTACCGTTCAAAAAACCCTCACCGTAACAACCGCCATAATTGTTGGACTCAATTCCCTGTAATTTCGGAGGCTGCGCGGCCCACTGTTAACCAAAGACATTGATAAATTGAACTGAACGACAGCAGGATCACTCATATGAGGTCTATGACACGTTGCCGTCCCCAGGACCAGTATATGTTACTACGCTGTGATTATTTTCTGCCGCAAATACACTTCAACTTGTCCTTGAAGTAATATAAGCCACGTTATATTCGAGGGGCCGGATTTTTTCAGAACTGTCTCGAGAAAAGCGCGGGTTATTTTTCATGCTTCGGGCACATTTTCGGGCTTTTGTACTGTAAGACGACGCACTGGATGAACCCTCGCTCTGGTGTAGGAAGCATCCCGCTATCTTCTCACACTTCCTGTACACTGATGAGAGGAGACCCACCTAAACAAGCAATGCTTACACAGCACTACTGATTCAAGCTCTGAAGCTCCATAACCACAGCTCATCCACATTTCTAAACGACCACGAGTCTCGTCCAGTTGAACCTAAAGACGGTGTGCATGCAGCATCCTTTCGGCGCATCCTCTTCGGCACGCTCACGAACCCAAGTTGCCCCGCTAAAAGTCTCTAGATGGCGTCGGTATAAATAATGGGCAATACACCACTGAGATTCACACACTCGTCGGGCGCAAAACATTGAGTGAAAGGCGTCCGCCTCTGGTGGCCCTATTTCTATTAGAGAGGTACATTCAAAGGAATATTGACCCTTTTACGGGCACTTTTGTGGTTAAATGAGGTCTCTTGTGCTCGCTAGTTACAGGTAAACCCTTACGCTTAGGAGTTTGGTCCCCAGACTTGGCGCTTCGTTGTGTAGGCATTTACGGTTTGCTCATGGTGCTCATTTGTGCGTGAAATTACGCACATCTAGCGGGGTGAAATTATGGTGGGTTGGTACGGAAAAACGTTTGACCTGGAGTGCAGAATTTTATGCCGGATCTGGATGAAATTACTGAAAACAGTTGTGGGGATGACCACATGGCCACGAAAAACGTTAAACTTCATGTTAGTTGTCAGTTGAAGTCACTGGACTCAAGGAAATGTGGATTTATTTGGAATTTCGGTTTGTGATAGATTCAGAATGTGGCATGCTTCAATTCGGGATTGTTAGACTGTCTGATACCTTGGATCATCGTGAAAATGACAAACATCACTGAAAATATTGGTTTCCCATTCCTACCTAAAATCGTTAAGCCAAATAAAACATCAATGGTGGTTAGGTATAGCTTTGTTTATTCTGGTTAGAAATTATCGCTTGACTGATCGGCCTGGGAAGGAACCTGATTTTCATTTCCACTAAAATGGAGCATAGTTTAGCTATTGAATATTACCGGCAGTGTACAACGCTGTCCGAGGCGTCTTGAGCGGGGTCAAAACCTTTCACAATGGTCCGCCTTCTCTGGGGAGGCTAACGATTACCGGCGGCGGAATTATCTGAAGACAGAGTTCCATTAAGGCTTGGATGTCACCCTATGATTTGAGGCCTGTTGCCAATATCAACCCGACAGTTTATGTCAGGAAATTACATACTGTGTGGCCAGGATAGTGATGAGCGATATGTCGTATATGTCGTTTGTTGCTGGAGGGTTTGTAAGTCGGCCACCTTCTTCTGGATGTGCCTAAATTGAGATTAAGTACCAGACCATATGTGAAAAGTGCTTGGGTCCGTACTTTTAGAGTATGGGAGCTTGGATACAGCAGATTTCTGGGTGAGGAGTCTCCATATTCTTATTCCAAGTTGCTGAATAGCATGATCAAAATGATACAACCAAAAGAGATGCAAAACTGATGCAATTTGTGAGTACTCAGGACCGCGCAGGAACGAAAGAATGACATAGATGGTTTGAATCACGTGACTCAGACACGATAATGCCTAAAATAGCGTGCTTAAAAGGCGGTGAACATCGGAGGCGGGGAAGCACAATTGATAGTTTTTCTCTCCTTTGGGAAACATATCAAGCTCAGGCATTATGTTGTCGGGCAGGAACACAATGGGGCATAGAAAAATTGGGGCACCCTGAGTTGGACTTGATAAGAAAGCTGCAAATTGCGGAAAATCAGCAACTTGAACAATGGTTTGGGTGATCAACATTGTTGGAGTGATCCAGCTGATGGAATTGAACTAAGCCTGAAGACCAGTGCTGAGGCTCCGTGGCAATGGACATTTCGATTATTGACCAGAGTCACAACAAGCGAGATGAATTGGAGAAATCCTCCATGCAGATAACTGGTGGCTTGAATCTCAGGATCACGATGTGCAGTGAAACTGTACAGACTCACTGGCATTGCTTCCGGGGTGGAGTTTGGCGTAAAAATTTCCCGGAGAATGAGCTATTGCTGGCGCGCAGGATAGAGCGCGAACTGTAAGGGAAAGGCCGCGCATACAGATCAGATAATAAACTAACAAAATATTACAGATGCACCTGCACACGGATTCTAATAAAGCGAATTAGGACCCACTGCATTCCAACTAACCCGACGAACAAAAGCACAAGCAAAAAGGTGACATTGCCATACGTCAAGGAATTTCGGAGCTGACCACAAAGGTGATATGACTTTGTGAGATAAGGGTGACCCAAGGACCTACAAATAAGCTGCAAAGGGCACTATTGAGACAAGGGTGGAAACAAAATTATAAGTTTTGTCTACAAAATCCAATACAAGAATGGCGAAAAACACTACTCGGAACAAACAGAGAGGAAGCTGTCCACCAGCATCAGCGACCACGAGCTTGATACTAGAATACACAAATAACTCTCTTTTTCTGTCACGCGAAGCCTAGGAAAGACATGAATTTGACCAGAAACACGTGAGCGTACTAGAACAAGCATGAACAAAGAAAGAACGCAAATTCATGGAGGCGTGATACTCAGCTGACGGTGCGATAAACAGACACAATGAGATTAGCCCTGTCTATCACCTCATGAGGACAAAGTAAGCCCTGAACCGCCAAACGCCTAGCAAAAAGAGGAACAGGAGGAAAATGAACGGAAATGAACCGAAATACTTCGATGACTCAGTTGAACCGAAATTCGCAGCTCCTATTGAGGATGACCGAATCTGACTGCCGAAACAGCCAGAAATCTTTGAATGCTTAGAGCAAATCAACTAACCCGGTCGCAGTTATAAGCCCCAGTCGAGATGTAGAAGGAGCTAACTAAAAATAGAAGGTAAGCCCTCAGCCAGTAAAACCGCGGAAGACGGACCACCACGCACCATGGTTCGCGATCGAACCAGTATTACACCAAGTGCGATATGATGCTCAGTAGTCAATCAAGTTATATCTCAAGACTACTCGTCGGAACCCGTATATGCGCAAGCAGGCGGAGGGAAGCCACCCGCCTAGCAGTGAACTGCAGATGTCCCCTCAAATGGTGACAAGCCTATAAAAGTCAACTGCTAAACTCAGTGAACAACCTACGAAGAATCAAGAAACTTTCATTGAGCATTGAGTTCAACTTGAACGAAAATTGAAAATCAATTCAGTCTGCGTGGCTCTGGACAGTTCGGCGCCATGTGCAGGGAGAGTACAAGTGGAAATAATAATTTTGCGGGGTTCTCTATATGGGTAAGTTGCAACCTGCACCTCAGAAACACAGTGTTTGTGCAAACCGGATCGATTTACTTGTATCGCTGTTATGGCGTTAGATTTCCTTCATAGAGTTATTTTATGCAAATGTGGTCTGTAAAGAGACGTTTTGAGTTTGTGACGAGGACAAACTGAAAATCCGCCAAAATGGTCAAATCCGAGGGACGGGTTGAGTGGGCTAAAAAGAACCCGTCATAGATGTGTTTTGGGTAAGTTTGTCCTTATTTGCTGGTGGGCTTGCGTGCTAGTGAGAAGGGACGGTACATAGAATGGAGAGAACATTAGTAGATGTGCCATCAGACTGGGCTGTGCATTACCCTGCCCTCACTGAACTTACATACTGCTGTTTCTGGAACGCCCCGTAACGGAAGCCGTGGTTGAGGCGATCAGAAAGGGGATGTGCGATTCTGTGTGCAGCGGATTTTTGGGTTAATTGCATGGATCCTCGCGTGCCGATGCGTGATCGCGTTCAGCCTCGGGTCAGTTGGATGTTCACGTGGACCTGCAGCGGAGATCAGATGGGATCGGGATCACTCATGCAGGGCGTTACAAGCAACGACCTCCAAAATCGGAGCCAGGGAACATATCTTTGGAATTCAGTAAGGGGTATTTTTATTTATTTTGCCATCCGACAGTTTGCACACGGGGCAATGATCAGGAGAGGTGAAGGGTTGCTGACTGTTCTGCGTTGTTTGATGACTAATATGAGAGGGATTTTGGTGCCTTTCGAGGAATGGCTTCAAAGGCAAATTAAACGCCCCGGTTTTCTAGAGAGGAACTGGGCTGGGTTAATGCACCCCCTCTTGGCTTTCGACTCAGAATCCTGTCCCACTGATCAGCGGTGGGTACAAGGCCTTTGAGGAGAACTTGCTACGAGCCCGTGACTCAAATGCCTGAACTGTGTGGATGACATTGCTGGGTTCTTCTTCAGGGACGTTCCCCTGAGCCGGTAGCTTAGTTGTCCGACTCACTAAAGTTTAGAAGAGTGGTCTGACCCAAGGCATAATTGTCTGACTGCTAGCTAGACTGCACAAACCGGATGTCACCTGTAAAGCATTAGATGCTCGGATTTCAAAATACTTTCGA